CCCGCTGCTCCCCTCAGCAGTGTACTTCGTCGATCTGCCTGTTCTGCTCCCTGCTCTGTCTCTGGTGAAGCCTCTCGCCACCCCTGAGCCTCTGGCCTGTACCCCCAATTCTGTATGTGGTTTGGAGTGTTCCCCTCCTAGAGGGAACAGCAGGAGCACAAACACTAAGTGTGAAACACCACTGTGCAGCTCAGAAAGTAAGTGCCAAGTTTGGGGGTGGAGGAGGGAAAGAGAAAAAGATGGTAACTGGGCAGATCTCCATATCATGAGGATGATTTGCTTGAGAATGGATGGAGACTTCAGCCCAAGCTCCGGAAAAAGATGGGGAGTCCTGGTTTAGACTGAGTGAGGGGTATCAGCAAGCCGGAGTTGAGTTCTGGGTTCGAGCACCTCCCTTTTGCTACACTCTAGCTAGCGCATACTGCCACCCAGCTCACCTAGGGGGACTGTGACTCTTGGGTACCTCAGAGATAGATGCCCTGACTTCCTCCTTGACTTGCAGGCTTATGCTTTGTCAAAGCTGAAGGAACGTGCCTACAGGCACTTTCCGTGATAACTTTGCTTCCGAGAGTTAAATTACGGAGCCATTTATGATTTATGTGAGGGGGACTGAAGGGTTGAAGAACTCTCAGAGGGAGACAAGGGGACTGAGCGGGTTGGGGGAACAGTCTTTCCTGCAAGCCCTGACTAGCAGCGCCCCACACTCTGCAGGACAGCTTCAGACGGCATGACTGTGCGGTCTGCTGCAGGACCCCAGCCTCGTCTGAGGGTTCTGTGGCTCACAAGTGGTTGAACCAAGGCCCTGGAATCGGAGGTGTCTGCAGGGTGTCTGCAGACTGTACATGGACAAGAGGCCTCCCAGACCCTTACAGCTGCTTCGGACAAACTCTAGGTCAATGAAAATAAAATGATATACTGCTTCTTGCACACACCTTTCTCCAGTACCTACCTGGGCAGATTCTGTCACAGCAGTCCCAGCATTCAGCTGAGAATATCTATCTCCAGAGAGACAGCTGAGGGGAGGGGGCCTGTGCATGGTCCCCCACCAAATTAATGAGCTAAGTCCACGTCTTTGCCCCCGGGGGTTAGCTGACTGGATGCTAGGAAGGGGGTGGAGCTCCAAGCTTTCACTTTTTAAAATGCTTATAAAGCCTGCAAAAATGCTAAACAGACGAGGGAGCGGGTCTCTCCACCGTAGCTCAGTCCCCGGGACATCCCGAACGGGCGGGGCTGGACCAGGCGCGGCCCAGGAGCGCCAAGTCGCGCCTGCGCACTTGAGACTCTGAAGCCCCGGCGCCCTCCGCGGTGGGCGGGCGCTGCCCGGGCATCCGGGTCCCTCACCCCGCCCCCGCTGCATGAATGAGAGGCGCGGCGTCCCCCCCTCCCCCGCCGGGCCCGCCCCTCGCCGGGGGCCGCCGCGCGCCGTCTGCCGCCGCCACCTCAGCCGCGCTGGGTCCCGACAGACGCTCGTCGTCCGCAGCCCGCCGCCCCGTAACCTGCCGCCTGGCGCCGAAGCTCCCACACCCCTGCTGTCGCCGCCGCCTCTGTCGGCACACCCGAGTAAGTAAGCGATCGGGGGCGGGGGGGCTGGGGGCAGTGGCCCCCGAGCCCGAGCTTTGGAGACCGGGTGGGTCCGGGGTCGGGATGCTGAGGAGATCGCGGGCCCGCTGCTGCCTCCCCACTCATGCTCGGGGCGCGCGGCGGAGGAGAGGAGGGAAGGGACAGCAGCCCCAAGCCGGGAGGGATGCAGAGGGTCGTCCGGGCGGGACGGAGAGTCCCGCACAAAGGGCGGCGCGGGGCTGTCACTGGGAGTCGCCGAGGGAAGGTTCGCGACGCCGGGCCAGCCAGCGTCGGGCGTCGGGTCCCGGGGCGTGGGAGGCGGCTGCGCTGAGCGGGAGGCGAGGGCGAGGATGGCGAGCGCGGCCGCCTCGGCGTTGGCAGTGGGAACGCGCCGTGGGGGGCGCGGCGTGGCAGTGTTTTCCTGGTCCCCATCTGCTCCTCCCCTTTCTTTGTGGCGTTTGTCGCGTGCCCGATTGTCACCCTGTGCATGCCCACGGTTCGGAGTGAGACCTCTCGCCTCGGCTTACTCACTGAAAATCAAGGGGTGACTTCTCTGTGGGTCGGGGGGCCCGTGTGCTCGCACAGGCCGGAGAAGTGAGGACCCTTTGTTTCCGGAGCCCGAATCGAGTGTGCGTGTGCGAAGCTGTCTCACCTATGAGATAAGATAAAGAGAACATTTAAGGGGTGCGAGAGAAAAAGACATCGCTTCATCAGAGGGTCCCCCAATTCTGTCTCTCGTGCTCGTTCAAACTGTTTTGTTTCTTGCAGTACAACCAGTGGGGGTTGCTAGTTGGATGTGGAGACGCTTTTATCTGTGTGTTTCGGACACTTTGCTTTTGGGGTTTCGTTCGTGAGCGTGGACTTAAGAGATCCGCACATGGCCGCGCTCCAGCACATACAGGGCGCAGCTTTCTGGCTGATTGGCCGCGTCTGTGTACTTAATACAGGTCTACAGAAACACTAATACAGCTAGTGCACTGTTTTACTCAGCTTCTCTCATAGGCAGATTTTATTTCTTCCTGCCTCCCTGTGTTAATAAGAAGGTGGTCCAGCAGGTTCTCTCCACCCCCTTGCTTTTTTTTTCCCCCTAATGCTTTGGCAAAGGGTTTTATTGCATATTATCCTGGCATGCGCCCTTGCTTTGATCTGAAATTTTCTGGGTTCTGTTGTTGGGTTGTGCTGCCTAGCTCAATGGCTCCTCTTACAGGACTACTGGAAAACAGAATACCTTTCATCATTGTCCTCATCCCCTGAGAGAGGAGGGAGCTCTGCAGGTTCCCACAGACGGGCTTGGTCGGACTGCCTGACTTTGTTGTGTAGGTAAAGTTAAGAAGTTGGTTCCAGTTGATGCAGACCAATTAAAAATAGGCAATAGTGATAGTACAGCTATTCCTTTTGGACTTTTTTTGGACCTTTTTCTAGGTTGTGTTGGCTTGTTTTGTTAAGTTTTTAAGAGATAGTTATTGTTTTGGTTGCACTTTTAGGGTGTTTGTTTTTTTTTTTTTTTCGATCCTTACAATTTTGTACAGTGATGGGAATGAAATAAACAGTTATAAGAAACACACCTCTGTTTAGTTATGATATTTGGATTAAAAATAGCAGTGGTAAAAAAAAATTTAAGAACTGTTTAAATCAATATTACCTCAATAAAGATGTTTAAAAATTAGCTTATTGAATTATATGAATAATTGGTAGATTTCTCTTTAAGATTCTCTTTGAGATTTTAATCGCATGTATTTTAATCCTTGGTAGGTTTTAGTGCAAAATGAAATCTAAACTAAGCAGTCTTCCACAGCATCTGTTTGTGTATATTCTCTCCATAAAAAACATTTGCTTTTAATTTGAAGGGGAAATTTTCCATTGGTTGAATCAAGATCCATTATTCTTAGTAAAATTCTTACCTTATGTTGTAATCAAATTCTTATTTTGTAGAAGTTAAAATTCATAAAGCCGATTTTTCAATTTAGAGCTTTGGTTTTGTAATGTGAGATTTTACCGTCAGTGAATTTAATTCAAGATATATTAACTTAAAAACATTAATTAGAGATAGTAACATTTTTAGTAGTAATAATGATGAAGCAACCAAAATAATTTATAAACTGCCTACATGAAGTGGTTTTTTACAAATCCCTTTAAAACAAACCATAAGAGGAAGTCTTAGGTAAACAAAGCAGTATAACCAGAATTATCACTGAAATAGACTTGCATAGCACCATGCTGTTTTCAAGAGTGACTTAGCTAGTGTTTGTATCAAAGAAGGAACCTAAAGTCATTCAGTCTTCTACTAATCAAAATCTCTACCAATTGTTAGCATTTCTATATAGTATAATGACTGAAGAAAAATCCTGATTTCTTTATCAAAATAGATTAATTTATGTTAAGTGTTGTTTTAGTAAGTATAGTCTTTATATTCATTAGAACTCTAATATTACTTCCATTTTAGTAATAATAATATCTGAATTTGTTATCCAAAACAGATATATTATTATCCCAATCATGTCTGATAACAAAAAGTAGAATTCTTCCTCACTGAACAGTCTTTATCACTAATTGTTTGGTTTCAAATGACACTTTATTCAAATCAATAATAAAGTAATGTTATACTGATATATTAATTTAAGCCATGTGAAACTGCCATTTTAAGATTGGAAAGTAGTCAAACCCCAGCAATTTCAGCATGATCCAAGCACTTCAGGTCTTTCCATTTCATTCTAATATTTCATTGTTAAGGTTTATGCTGCTGTTTCTTGATTTTCCATCTTTGGATATCATCTTTGGACTTTTTTTGGAAGTTGAGAGTCCCACACAATCATCTTTCCATCCCCTTCTCTTACCTATGCTTTACATTTCCCATAGTATATTGACTGCAGTGATGCTCATTAATCACAGTGAACCACATAGGGTACTAGTACTGTATTTCTTTCTTGTATAACTTTTGTTTCTCCTGAATTAATTGCCTCTTTTGTATGTTTTTCATTTTAGTTTTCTTTGTACCAGTCATTAATTCATTTTCAAATTCTATGACAGAATTGATAATCTTTCTACATTTTCAGGTAATCTCTTAGTTTCATTTCTTTTTCCTTTTTCTTTGTAATCCCTTTGTCATCATCATCTTCAGAACTCCTTTTATCCTATTTTGGATTCTTTACTTACTGGATCCTGTGTCTTCCTTATTCTTTGGTAACTTCCTGAGAAAGGGCACATATAAACTCATTACTTCTCTAATTCAGGAGTTGCATGCCTGGAAATATCATCACTATACCCTAGCTTTTGAATGCTTATTAGCTGGATATTGAATTCTAGATTGAAAATTAGTGTTCCTTTTTTTTTTTTTTAAGATTTTTATTTATTTGTGCTTACAGAACTGGGGTACAGGCCAGAGGCTCAGGGGCAGAGAGAGGCTTCACCAGAAACAGAGTGGGGAGCAGAACAGGCAGATCGACCAAGTACACTGCTGAGGGGAGCAGCGGAGGAAACAGGAGAGGTCTGCCGCGCCATGTGCTCACCTCCGGGGCAGGCAGGAATCGAACTCATACGGAAGTGGCTTTAGCTTCTTAGTGCTGTGCTTTAACCCGCTGCGTCACCAGGGAGGGCTAGTTTTCCTCTTTTAAGGGCAGTTTTCTGTTAGATTTCAGTGTTGCTGAGAAGTCCAGTCATTCTAATCCCTATTCCTTTTCCCACCCTCTCTGGGAGTGTTAAGATATTTTTCCCTGGTGTTCCTAACATTTCATGAAGTTCCTTGGCATAGGAGTTTCTCTTTCCTTTTACTTGTGGGACAGATAATATTTTCCCAACTGACATATATGTGTGTGTGTATACACACACACACCCCATTTCACCCAGACAATTTATTCTTTATGGCTTACGTGCTTCCATCAAGACATGGGGCACTGCATCCTCCTCCCGAACATTTGAAGACATGAATCCTCCTTAGAATGTTTTGGGTCCTGAGCCAGCACCACAGTTTAGGAGCACAGCTGGAATGATCGTTTAAGTCTATCCTATGTTTTAATTTTTGTTTCCATTTTCAAATGGGATAAGAAATTAGAAATACCAGTTAACACTAAAGGAAGTTTCATCAGTCAGTAAAATTCAATCACCTCTGGAAATCAGCATGAAGGTTATCAGGTACATTTTAAAATCCACCTTAAGAAGTGATAGAACCATCCACCATCAAAAAGAAAGAAGCAACCCTTAACCCTCATGATTAAATATGTCATGACTTAATGTGACAAGTATATTACTTGTAGGAATTTCTGTGATAAAAGGTGGAGAAGTGAGATTATATAGATTATACACATTAGATTTTATAACTTCATAAGTATAATTTAACATTGGCAGTCTTTTTTACACCTGGATTCTGAACTCAGACTTCTTGGAGTTGAATTCCAGCTCTTTCACTTTTTGCCCTGTGACTTTTGTCAAGTTCACTAACTTCTCTGTTTCCTCATCTGCAAGATAGAAACAGTAATAGTACCCATTTTCATATGTTTGTTGTTTAGGTTGAATGAGATAATATGTCAAATACTTAACTATTTGGCATGGGGATACTTGCAATAAAAAATAATTATAATTACAATAATCATTTTTATAGTCTTCTCCAGTTTCTGATATTTGATGGAATTGGTCACTATAGAATTTTTGTGCATAGCACTTACATCTGTTAGGATTTTGACTATAAAAGTGATTCAGCTGGTTTGGTTTTGTTTTTTCTGATTTCTCTCTTCCCTGTTTCCAAGATTACCCTTTGTGATAGATTGTACAATTGACATATAAGTACCCTATTGTACTTCCCCACGTTTTGGTCATTTGATAAACCATGTTGATTATTTGATAAAATATTTTTATGTGATCCTGTTCTTTGTTTACTTGGTTTGCCCAGAGGTAAGATTCCTTCTGAATGTTATTCCACATTAAGTTTTCTTATTTCTGGAAATGAAACTTTTAAAAACAACTTATGCATCATCAACAGATTTTTTTTTTTTAAGTAACTATAGGACACTGTTCTTTTCATTTACTAGCTAGCTGGGAAGATAAATATATGTAGCAGCACAAAGCCCACTCTGAAAGCCACATAAGGGATAAAGACTGGCTCTGTAGAAATTCTGAGTAGGGAGAGCTATGCCCTGCCAGCCTTCAGAGATTCTTATAATTTCTCTGCATGTTAAATTGTCTGGTTTAGGCTATTCCCCTATTGTTTGCCTAATTTTTATTTTGAAAGTTTGCTTAAAATTCAGAGGACTATTATAATAATAAAAAAAGAGGACTAATTTAGATTTTAAGGTAGATAATACACAAGCTGAATTTGAGAGCAATTTTTAACTTTAGAAGTTGTTTCTTCAAATTTGACTTAGTTTTTGTGTCTGTCTTTTATAGCAGGGACTACTCCAATTATCTAGTATTTCAGACATCAGGGTGTAATGTTGGGTAAATTTAGGGTTCAAAAAGAATGCCAGATGGTTTGAAAGGAACTGTGGGCACTCCAACTAGTATGTCCATTGAAAGCCAGCTGGCTGAGCCTCCTCTGCTGTGGAGGTAGGAACCAGACACTGTGTTTCATGCCAGCTGGCCCAGGCATAGCTAGCCATTGGCCCTACTTTTGGTTGACTATTCCTGGGAAAGCCAGCCCCAACCCTCTGATTGCTCTAAAGACAGTCTTAACACCAGAAAGTTCTCAGTATCTCTGTGGTGCTCCAGGGTGCTGGAACAAGTATGAATGACAAGGAAAGGAAGCCACTGTGTAGATAGCATTAAAATGAAACTTCACATCAAGCTGTAGATTTGTTCTGGGAAAAGTGTAATGCGAAGAATTTTTATGGTTTTAGTGCTGTTACATGTATTAGATGTTTGATTACTACTAAAATAACTATAGTGAATGTTTTATATGTAACTGCTAGTTATCTGCTTTTGAATTACCCCTTTTCATTTAATGACTTCTAAAAGTGAGGTTTGCTTTTCTTTTCATTGTCATCTTCTAAAGTTTTGGTCATTTGTATAAGTAATGTTTTCATCTTGTCATAAAACTTGATCTTATGTAAACATAAGCTTCTATAGAAGGTTAATTGTGTGGTTTGTCTTAAAATCTCATTTGTCTGTTCTTCATGCAGACAGGTGTTTTTATCAGATACAGTTCTTCCTTTTGCAAACTTAATGTCAAGTAGTTGACATTAAGTACAAATGTGATACTGCAAGTATAATGAGCATTCAGTTTATTTGATGGACCATGTGTATTGGAGTCTCAAAATTAGTAACTTTACCATAATCTCCCAGTGTGCTGTATTTTGCCTTTGAAGATTTTGTCCTCATTTGAAGATTT